CATAACACCACATTTAGCTGCATGAAAGAATACAGGACAATCGTTAAAATTAATTAGACTCTTGCTTTAGCATGAGACACAAGGAGATTAGAACAGCAGTATATTTAAGGTAGAGGAGCTCTATTATTGAAACTAGTATTATTTAAAGTTATAGACGCGGAGAAGTTTAGAATTATTGATTTTAACTGCATGATCTTGGTAATACGGATATTTAAAGCAGTGTTTTCAACCTCTGAACCGTGGCTCGTTAATCATTTAAAAACAATCACATGCACAGTTGAAACTGGTGCTAGAAAGAGAACTGCAGCTTTTAATGGACGCTGCATTTAGTACAAAATGGTTTGTTCAGACAATTAAAGTTTGAAAAATGGTTTAAAGCATTTCTGAATTTTGGCTAAAGGTGATATTGGATCATTTCTGATAACACATTGACGCAACACTGTTCATTGGTTGAAAACAAAGATGTAGGGACATTTTTTGAAATCTTTTATGACATGTTTCTCTTCCAAATAGCTAAATTAGAAACAATTAGGACAATTATGTCTTTGATATAACTGTTGGCCGTTTGTCTGAGACATGATTGGTGCAAGTACACACACATAAAACAATGGTCTTTTCTCCACATGAACGTGAAACAAAGGTGAAGTATTAAAGTTTGAAACTAATTTACATTTTTAAGGAATCCGAACTGGCTTTAAAAAAAAAAAGGGAAAAACATTTATTGCACGTGCATGAGTTTTTTTTTAAGTAACAAGAGCTCATTAAAAATATAGGGGACACAGTTTGTGACAAGCCCGAGTAAAGACCACGTGGTTTAAACACTAAAGTTTGAAATGGATCCTTTTAGGAAAAATCTCTCAAAGCTCTGCATGTTCTGCAGGCTCTGAAAGTTGCAACAATAAAATAACTCATGAGACAATTGTAATTGGACATGGAAAAATATAACAAAGTTAAAATTACAGGCCTCCTGTGTTGTCTATATGTTTGTGTGTGTTATATGTTTGTGTGGGTTATATGTTTGTGCGTCATGTCAAGTACACTACGTTGACCTTAACAAACTCTGGACCAAAATACTAACTGGGGAGTCGGCCTGTGTGAGTGTGATGTGAGTGTGGAGTGAAATGAGGAGTGAAATGAGGAGTGCTGAACGGAATCATGGAATAACAAAAGTTTTCTGTAATGTTTTAATGTGATCATGGAATAATTATTTTTTGTCAACAGCATACGGTGTAAGTACTAGAGATTCAAAGATAACAAGCTTTATTGAACAGGTGTAAAAGTGAGAGTACTCTGGGATGAGTACTCTGAGAAAGTACTCTGAGATGAATACCTTGCTGAAGGTACTGGGAGTCCCTCCCTCTGCTGTTTGTCCTGACAGTGATTCGGTCCAACCGCAGTGAGCGGTCATTGGGCGGAGGACAACTTTGGTTTGTAATTCACATTTAGGGGAGTATAAAATTAGAAACATACATATTGTTAAGTCTGTATTCGGCTACAGCCTCTGCCCTGGTGTCACACACCGTCTGTCAATGTCGTTATGTTTTGCCCAATTGGATTGATTGACAGGCTGCACCATGCGAAGAGAGGGAAGTGGGCGTTTCTTGTGTTCTAATGTTTGTTTTTCAGATGAAAGATAAACTGCACCTGCTTCAGGGATGACAGTAGTATGGATCATGAGGAAATGAGCCTCTGCTTTGGCACCAAAGCCCACAATATGAATTGAGGACGATCCGGGAGGAACAACTGGAGATGATTGGAACAGTAATCTACACACACACACAGACACATGTTTTACACGTGGCCCACGACCAAGAGAGGGATATAATGTTATTGTCATAGGTGGTCATGGTCCTTAACCTTCTAAATCATTAGAAAGAAGTGTAAAACATATATTTACAAGAACAAATAAATAATAGAAAGGGCAGCCTAAAAAAGCAAAATGGGAAAATTATTAAGTAATTTTCGGAGTTGCCAAAATGGAATAAAATTCTATATTTGTCCCATAGGGGGTCATTCTAAATTTAGTGTTGTGCAAATTCAAAAGGAGAAATAATAGCGCTTATAACATCAAACAGATCTACTCTTTAAGATAATAGATCATACAATAATAGAATAGAATGAAATAGTCTGGAGCTATAATGTCATTGGATTCAAGGAGCTATAGGTTGAAAAGTCGCTAAGAAGAGGTGTCAGAATAAACAATAGTAATAATAGTTAGACTAGTGAATAATCAAAATAGTTCTATTGTGGAAATAAGTATCAATAAGGTCAAATTGTTCTAATAACTAAAGTAAAAAGGAATCAAATGGAGTCAGATTTTAGATGTTTCTGTTTTCCACATCTGTAGGATCTAGTGCAGATGTGTTTATAGAGAGTAGTATTAAAATGCAGACATAGAACGACAGGCTTTAACACAATTTTAAATCTAAAAATAGCTCAAATATAACATTGCTCTTGATGCAGCCTCTGAGCTGCTCCATTGGAGAACAGGTTAAATGTTATTGTTTATTACAAACAGCTGATGTATTTACACATATTAAGTTTGGGACAACTCTTTAAACAGTTATAAGCAGCGGACAGAAGCCATGAATGTGCTTTTGTTTATTAAATAATTAAATGCATAGCCTTATAATCGTAGAGAACGTTTTAAAATAGTTAAAATCCCTTTCAGGCAACTTGATTTAGATGTATGTCTTTAATATTGGAGAACGACTGTGTTGTTTTTGGAATTGTCTGAAATACAATACATAGAATAGTGATTTGCAGAACAAGAACCGGCCAATGAAAAATCATCTATTGCCAATGCAATTGTTACAATCAGAACTCAAAAATTGGGAATATGCTTTGGCTCAAACTACAACCAAGATTTGGAGTCACAATAGAGTGTAAAATAGATAGATGCTTTCAAAAAAAAAAATAGAGATTATTTTTAGACAGGGTTAATATCAAACGGTAAAAAGACCATTTCCTTCATATTATGTCCAAAAGTAGTTACTTCAAAAGTAGATAAAGTTCATGAGTGTAGCCTAGATTAATGTAGCTTAGATTAATGAGATAGATTAGAACCAACAGAGATTCAAAAACATTTAAAAGCATTTTGGTGAATTTGGGTATAGCACAAAAGTAGATCTTTAGGTAGTTTTGAGAATTTTAAGAGCTGTCGATTTGTCAGCAACAGATTAGAGCAGGGGTGCTCACACTTTTTCAGCATGCGAGCTACTTATAAAAGGATCAAGTCAAAATGATCTACCTACTACAAAAATGCAAATCATATATTTATTTCAAAAAATATTCTTTATATCTACAATGTATGTTTATGTACATGCAAAACCGCATGAGCCAATATAGCACAACAAAACACAATTACCTATGTACATTTTTTGTCATTACCCGAGTTTACTCTTATGATTTGCACTGAATTGAATCAACCAGGGATGCATAGTCCATAAAATTGGTGGTAACTCGCTGACAAGTTTGTCGTGGTTTAGCTTTCCTGCACTGAGCGCGGTTGTTTGCGCATGTGCAGTCACCTAAGTGTCAGTAAAACATTACTGAGTAAAACACAGATGTCATTTGACTGTGGTGCCATGTCCATGTGCCATGCCTGGTTTTTTTAAATCCAAATATTTCCCCTCCTCAGTTTATAAAATAATTTGCATCCACACATCTGCGTTATCAATCACATTCGTAACATTCCAAACATGTGCGTCTCTTACGTCCTGTCCTGCGTTGGGGAAAAACACAGAAGTGGGCGGAGCTTTGATGCAGACGCCGATAACGGCACTTTTACAGTCATAGAAGACACTCAGAGTAAAGACGTATGTTTACAAGCACTGACCCCGTCCTCAGCCCTGGTTTAGTCCTGGTTTAGCCCTGATTTAGTCCTGGTTTAGTCCTGGTTTAGTCCTGGTTTAGTCCTGGTTTAGTCCTGGTTTGGTTGTTTTCGAGCGTGAGTCCCCGCGATCACTTTGCTGCTCTCTGATGTGGAGGATGTTCGCTGCTGCGAGCATCTCACAGCGAACAGTTTTTAAGGTAGTATGATCCATGCTTCAGTGATCAGAGGAATTTAGGAGGGTACTGTGGCGTGCGAGAACGCAAAACTCCGGTTATTTCTGTCTACACACAAATGCACGGAGTTTTCAAAAATCTCCACTTTGCCCGGAGTTTTTTGTATATATTAGTTTAGAATGTGTAATTTTTTATTTATTTAATGCGATCTACCAATACTACCTTTGCGATCGACTGGTAGATCGCGATCGACGTATTGAGCACCCCTGGATTAGAGAATCAAAATACCGTTGTATAGGGACTAACCCCAGAGAAACCTGCTAAAATAGATTAGCTCCTGTACGGATAATACCAATTTGATTAACGATGTACATTTATCCCAAACGGTCTGAGAGAAGGAAGTGACAGCACTTCCTGGTTCAACAAAATGTATTTGGAAATGAGCAAAGCCCCACGAAATGGCCCAAAGCCACTGATAATGGAAGCAAACCACAGTATAGATAGATTTATTAGATAAAAACATATGTTTAAGAATATGGCTCAATAAAAGCAAAGATGCAAACATATTGGTAAATAGATTAGAATAGTTTAAACTATAGTGAATAGTTTTAGTGCATACATTACAGACGAGGTTGAAGAAGAATCAGAATGACAGCAGTGGTCATCAAAGAGTTTAGTGAAGGAATGTTTCGAATGTGGTTGTGTGTTGTTCGTCTTCCTGTATTAACTCTTCACAGATATCGAGCCAGAACTAGGATGATGGAATCTCCCCAGTCCCGTCACCCAGAGAATATTGAAAGATTGTGACCTATTGGTTAATATAGGTCAAAAGAGGGACTGACGAATATTCACAAAATGGCTGCACATCAGACAAAGGAATATGCACTCAGGAATCATAAGAGATGACCAGCTTACAAAACCAGACAATTATTGACTCCAAGAATAAACAAATGCTCTCTCCCACTCTCGACGAGGGCAAAAGTCCAACACAATCAGGCGCCCAGTGGTGGGGGGCATTGTTTGCTCAGGTGGAGATGGAAGACCGGGTCCAGACCAGGACCAGGGGCCAGACCAGTCCCACAAGTGACATCATCAGACGTCTTGATAAAACTGTTGGTTTGAGTTCTGGGGGGAAGGTTAGCGCAGGGGAAGAGGAGAGGGACATCTTGTGTCTCATGATGAGGCTCTGCTGGTGTCTCATGGTGAATCCGTGCTGGTGTCTCATGGTGAGGCTGTGCTGGTGTCTCATGGTGAGGCTGTGCTGGTGTCTCATGGTGAAACCGTTGCTTTTGTCTCATGATGAGGCTCTGCTGGTGTCTCATGGTGAATCCGTGCTGGTGTCTCATGGTGAGGCTGTGCTGGTGTCTCATGGTGAGGCTGTGCTGGTGTCTCATGGTGAAACCGTGCTTTTGTCTCATGGTGAGGCTCTGCTGGTGTCTCATGGTGAGGCTGTGCTGGTGTCTCATGGTGAGGCTGTGCTGGTGTCTCATGGTGAAACCGTGCTTTTGTCTCATGGTGAGGCTCTGCTGGTGTCTCATGGTGAGGCTGTGCTGGTGTCTCATGGTGCGGCTGTGCTGGTGTCTCATGGTGAGGCTGTGCTGGTGTCTCATGGTGAGGCTGTGCTGGTGTCTCATGGTGAGGCTGTGCTGGTGTCTCATGGTGAGGCTGTGCTTGTGTCTCATGGTGAGGCTGTGCTGGTGTCTCATGGTGAATCCGTGCTTTTGTCTCATGGTGAGGCTCTGCTGGTGTCTCATGGTGAGGCTCTGCTGGTGTCTCATGGTGTGGCTGTGCTGGTATCTCCTGGCGAGGCTGTGCTGGTGTCTCATGGTGAGGCTGTGCTGGTGTCTCATGGTGAGGCTGTGCTGGTGTCTCATGGTGAGGCTGTGCTGGTGTCTCATGGTGAGGCTCTGCTGGTGTCTCATGGCGAATCCATGCTGGTGTGTCATAGTGAGGCTGTGCTGGTGTCTCATGGTGAGGCTCTGCTGGTGTCTCATGGTGAAACCGTGCTGGTGTCTCATGGTGCGGCTGTGCTGGTGTCTCATGGTGAGGCTCTGCTGGTGTCTCATGGTGAAACCGTGCTTTTGTCTCATGGTGAGGCTCTGCTGGTGTCTCATGGTGACGCTGTGTGGTGTCTCATGGTGACGCTCTGCTGGTGTGTCATGGTGACGCTGAGTGGTGTCTCATGGTGAGGCTCTGCTGGTGTCTCATGGTGCGGCTGTGCTGGTGTCTCATGGTAAGGCTGTGCTGGTGTCTCATGGTGAGGCTCTGCTGGTGTCTCATGGTGACGCTGTGCTGGTGTCTCATGGTGAGGCTGTGCTGGTGTCTCATGGTGAGGCTGTGCTGGTGTCTCATGGTGAATCCGTGCTGGTGTCTCATGGTGCGGCTGTGCTGGTATCTCATGGTGAGGCTGTGCTGGTGTCTCATGGTGAGGCTGTGCTGGTGTCTCATGGTGAGGCTGTGCTGGTGTCTCATGGTGAGGCTGTGCTGGTGTCTCATGGTGAGGCTCTGCTGGTGTCTCATGGTGAAGCTGTGTGGTGTCTCATGGTGAGGCTCTGCTGGTGTCTCATGGTGCGGCTGTGCTGGTATCTCCTGGTGAGGCTGTGCTGGTGTCTCATGGTGAGGCTGTGCTGGTGTCTCATGGTGAGGCTGTGCTGGTGTCTCATGGTGAGGCTGTGCTGGTGTCTCATGGTGACGCTGTGCTGGTGTCTCATGGTGCGGCTGTGCTGGTGTCTCATGGTGAGGCTGTGCTGGTGTCTCATGGTGAGGCTGTGCTGGTGTCTCATGGTGAATCCGTGCTGGTGTCTCATGGTGAGGCTGTGCTGGTGTCTCATGGTGACGCTGTGCTGGTGTCTCATGGTGAGGCTCTGCTGGTGTCTGATGGTGCGGCTGTGCTGGTGTCTCATGGTGAGGCTCTGCTGGTGTCTCATGGTGAGGCTGTGCTGGTGTCTCATGGTGAGGCTGTGCTGGTGTCTCATGGTGACGCTGTGCTGGTGTCTGATGGTGCGGCTGTGCTGGTGTCTGATGGTGCGGCTGTGCTGGTGTCTCATGGTGAGGCTCTGCTGGTGTCTCATGGTGAGGCTGTGCTGGTGTCTCATGGTGAGGCTGTGCTGGTGTCTCATGGTGAGGCTGTGCTGGTGTCTCATGGTGAGGCTGTGCTGGTGTCTCATGGTGAATCTCTGCTGGTGTCTCATGGTGAGGCTGTGCTGGTGTCTCATGGTGAGGCTCTGCTGGTGTCTCATGGTGAGGCTGTGCTGGTGTCTCATGGTGAGGCTCTGCTGGTGTCTCATGGTGACGCTGTGTGGTGTGTCATGGTGAGGCTCTGCTGGTGTCTCATGGTGCGGCTGTGCTGGTGTCTCATGGTGAGGCTGTGCTGGTATCTTCTGGTGAGGCTGTGCTGGTGTCTCATGGTGAGGCTGTGCTGGTGTCTCATGGTGAGGCTGTGCTGGTATCTTCTGGTGAGGCTGTGCTGGTGTCTCATGGTGAGGCTGTGCTGGTGTCTCATGGTGAGGCTGTGCTGGTGTCTCATGGTGAGGCTGTGCTGGTGTCTCATGGTGACGCTGTGCTGGTGTCTCATGGTGACGCTGTGCTGGTGTGTCTCATGGTGCGGCTGTGCTGGTGTCTCATGGTGAGGCTGTGCTGGTGTCTCATGGTGAGGCTGTGCTGGTGTCTCATGGTGAATCCGTGCTGGTGTCTCATGGTGAGGCTGTGCTGGTGTCTCATGGTGACGCTGTGCTGGTGTCTCATGGTGAGGCTCTGCTGGTGTCTGATGGTGCGGCTGTGCTGGTGTCTCATGGTGAGGCTGTGCTGGTGTCTCATGGTGAGGCTGTGCTGGTGTCTCATGGTGAGGCTGTGCTGGTGTCTCATGGTGAATCCGTGCTGGTGTCTCATTGTGAGGCTGTGCTGGTGTCTCATGGTGAGGCTCTGCTGGTGTCTCATGGTGAGGCTCTGCTGGTGTCTCATGGTGAGGCTGTGCTGGTGTCTCATGATGAGGCTCTGCTGGTGTCTCATGGTGAATCCGTGCTGGTGTCTCATGGTGAGGCTGTGCTGGTGTCTCATGGTGAGGCTGTGCTGGTGTCTCATGGTGAGGCTCTGCTGGTGTCTCATGGTGAGGCTGTGCTGGTGTCTCATGGTGAGGCTCTGCTGGTGTCTCATGGTGAGGCTCTGCTGGTGTCTCATGGTGACGCTGTGCTGGTGTCTCATGGTGAGGCTCTGCTGGTGTCTCATGGTGCGGCTGTGCTGGTATCTCCTGGTGAGGCTCTGCTGGTGTCTCATGGTGCGGCTGTGCTGGTATCTCCTGGTGAGGCTGTGCTGGTGTCTCATGGTGAGGCTGTGCTTGTGTCTCATGGTGAGGCTGTGCTGGTGTCTCATGATAAGGCTCTGCTGGTGTCTCATGGTGAATCCGTGCTGGTGTCTCATGGTGAGGCTGTGCTGGTGTCTCATGGTGAAACCGTGCTTTTGTCTCATGGTGAGGCTCTGCTGGTGTCTCATGGTGACGCTGTGTGGTGTCTCATGGTGAGGCTCTGATGGTGTCTCATGGTGCGGCTGTGCTGGTGTCTCATGGTAAGGCTGTGCTGGTGTCTCATGGTGAGGCTCTGCTGGTGTCTCATGTTGACGCTGTGTGGTGTCTCATGGTGAGGCTCTGCTGGTGTCTCATGGTGCGGCTGTGCTGGTATCTCCTGGTGAGGCTGTGCTGGTGTCTCATGGTGAGGCTGTGCTGGTGTCTCCTGGTGAGGCTGTGCTGGTGTCTCATGGTGAGGCTGTGCTGGTGTCTCATGGTGAGGCTGTGCTGGTGTCTCATGGTGAGGCTGTGCTGGTGTCTCATGGTGAGGCTGTGCTGGTGTCTCATGGTAAGGCTGTGCTGGTGTCTCATGGTGAGGCTCTGCTGGTGTCTCATGGTGACGCTGTGTGGTGTCTCATGATGAGGCTCTGCTGGTGTCTCATGGTGCGGCTGTGCTGGTATCTCATGGTGAGGCTGTGCTGGTGTCTCATGGTGAGGCTGTGCTGGTGTCTCATGGTGACGCTGTGCTGGTGTCTCATGGTGAGGCTCTGCTGGTGTCTCATGGTGAGGCTCTGCTGGTGTCTCATGGTGAGGCTGTGCTGGTGTCTCATGATGAGGCTCTGCTGGTGTCTCATGGTGAATCCGTGCTGGTGTCTCATGGTGAGGCTGTGCTGGTGTCTCATGGTGACGCTGTGCTGGTGTCTCATGGTGAGGCTCTGCTGGTGTCTGATGGTGCGGCTGTGCTGGTGTCTCATGGTGAGGCTCTGCTGGTGTCTCATGGTGAGGCTGTGCTGGTGTCTCATGGTGAGGCTGTGCTGGTGTCTCATGGTGAATCCGTGCTGGTGTCTCATGGTGAGGCTGTGCTGGTGTCTCATGGTGAGGCTGTGCTGGTGTCTCATGGTGACGCTGTGCTGGTGTCTCATGGTGCGGCTGTGCTGGTGTCTCATGGTGAGGCTGTGCTGGTGTCTCATGGTGAGGCTGTGCTGGTGTCTCATGGTGAATCCGTGCTGGTGTCTCATGGTGAGGCTGTGCTGGTGTCTCATGGTGACGCTGTGCTGGTGTCTCATGGTGAGGCTGTGCTGGTGTCTGATGGTGAGGCTCTGCTGGTGTCTCATGGTGAGGCTGTGCTGGTGTCTCATGGTGAGGCTGTGCTGGTGTCTCATGGTGAGGCTGTGCTGGTGTCTCATGGTGATCCGTGCTGGTGTCTCATTGTGAGGCTGTGCTGGTGTCTCATGGTGAGGCTCTGCTGGTGTCTCATGGTGAGGCTGTGCTGGTGTCTCATGATGAGGCTCTGCTGGTGTCTCATGGTGAATCCGTGCTGGTGTCTCATGGTGAGGCTGTGCTGGTGTCTCATGGTGAGGCTGTGCTGGTGTCTCATGGTGAGGCTGTGCTGGTGTCTCATGGTGAGGCTGTGCTGGTGTCTCATGGTGAGGCTGTGCTGGTGTCTCATGGTGAGGCTCTGCTGGTGTCTCATGGTGAGGCTGTGCTGGTGTCTCATGGTGAGGCTGTGCTGGTGTCTTTCATGGTGAGGCTGTGCTGGTGTCTCATGGTGAGCTGTGCTGGTATCTCCTGGTGAGGCTGTGCTGGTGTCTCATGGTGAGGCTCTGCTGGTGTCTCATGGTGAGGCTGTGCTGGTGTCTCATGGTGAGGCTGTGCTGGTGTCTCATGGTGAAACCGTGCTTTTGTCTCATGGTGAGGCTCTGCTGGTGTCTCATGGTGACGCTGTGTGGTGTCTCATGGTGAGGCTCTGCTGGTGTCTCATGGTGCGGCTGTGCTGGTGTCTCATGGTAAGGCTGTGCTGGTGTCTCATGGTGAGGCTCTGCTGGTGTCTCATGGTGACGCTGTGTGGGTGTCTCATGGTGAGGCTCTGCTGGTGTCTCATGGTGAGGCTGTGCTGGTGTCTCATGGTGAGGCTGTGCTGGTGTCTCATGGTGAGGCTGTGCTGGTGTCTCATGGTGAGGCTGTGCGGTCGGCTGTGTGTGTCTCATGGTGAGGCTGTGCTGGTGTCTCATGGTGAGGCTGTGCTGGTGTCTCATGGTGAGGCTGTGCTGGTGTCTCATGGTGAGGCTGTGCTGGTGTCTCATGGTGAGGCTTGCTGGTGTCTCATGGTGAGCTGTGTGGTGTCTCATGGTGAGGCTTGCTGGTGTCTCATGGTGAGGCTGTGCTGGTGTCTCATGGTGGGCTGTGCTGGTGTCTCATGGTGAGGCTGTGCTGTGCTGGTGTCTCATGGTGAGGCTGTGCTGGTGTCTCATGGTGAGGCTGTGCTGTGCTGTGTCTCATGGTGAGGCTGTGCTGGTGTCTCATGGTGAGGCTGTGCTGGTGTCTCATGGTGAGGCTGTGCTGGTGTCTCATGGTGAGGCTGTGCTGGTGTCTCATGGTGAGGCTGTGCTGGTGTCTCATGGTGAGGCTGTGCTGGTGTCTCATGGTGACGTGGGTCTCATGGGGCTCTGCTGGTGTCTCATGGTGAGGCTGTGCTGGTGTCTCATGGTGAGGCTGTGCTGGTGTCTCATGGTGAGGCTGTGCTGGTGTCTCATGGTGATCCTGTGCTGGTGTCTCATGGTGAGGCTGTGCTGGTCTCATGGTGGGCTGGGTGTCTCATGGTGAGGCTGTGCTGGTGTCTCATGGTGAGCTTGCTGGTGTCTCATGGTGACCTGCTGGTGCTCAGTGAGGCTTGCTGGTGTCTCATGGTGACGCTGTGCTGGTGTCTCATGGTAGGCTGTGCTGGTGTCTCATGGTGAGGCTCTGCTGGTGTCTCATGGTGAGGCTGTGCTGGTGTCTCATGGTGAGGCTGTGCTGGTGTCTCATGGTGACCGTGCTGGTGTCTCATGGTGAGGCTGTGCTGGTGTCTCATGGTGAGGCTGTGCTGGTGTCTCATGGTGAGGCTGTGCTGGTGTCTCATGGTGAGGCTGTGCTGTGTCTCATGGTGAGGCTTGCTGGTGTCTCATGGTGCTGTGCGGTGTCTATGGTGGCTGTGCTGGTGTCTCATGGTGAGTGCTGGTGGTGTGTGTGTCTCATGGTGAGGCTGTGCTGGTGTCTCATGGTGAGGCTGTGCTGGTGTCTCATGGTGAGGCTGTGCTGGTGTCTCATGGTGAGGCTGTGCTGGTGTCTCATGGTGAGGCTGTGCTGGTGTCTCATGGTGAGGCTCTGGTGTCTCATGGTGAGGCTGTGCTGGTGTCTCATGGTGAGGCTTGCTGGTGTCTCATGGTGAGGCTGTGCTGGTGTCTCATGGTGAGGCTGTGCTGGTGTCTCATGGTGAGGCTGTGCTGGTGTCTCATGGTGAGGCTGGCTGGTGTCTCATGGTGAATCCGTGCTGGTGTCTCATGGTGAGGCTGTGCTGGTGTCTCATGGTGAGGCTTGCTGGGTGTCTCATGGTGACTGTGCTGGTGTTCTATGGTGCGGCTGTGCTGGTGTCTCATGGTGAGACTGGCTGGTGTCTCATGGTGAGGCTGTGCTGGTGTCTCATGGTGAGGCTGTGCTGGTGTCTCATGGTGAATCCTGCTGGTGTTCTCATGGTGAGGCTGTGCTGGTGTCTCATGGTGAGGCTGTGCTGGTGTCTCATGGTGAGGCTGTGCTGGTGTCTCATGGTGATGGTGGGCTGTGCTGGTGTCTCATGGTGAGGCTGTGCTGGTGTCTCATGGTGAGGCTGTGCTGGTGTCTCATGGTGAGGCTGTGCTGGTGTCTCATGGTGCTGTGCTGGTGTCTCATGGTGGCTGGTGCTCATGTGACGGCTGGTGTCTCATGTGAGGCTGTGCTGGTGTCTCATGGTGAGGCTCTGCTGGTGTCTCATGATGAGGCTCTGCTGGTGTCTCATGGTGAATCCGTGCTGGTGTCTCATGGTGAGGCTGTGCTGGTGTCTCATGGTGAAACCGTGCTTTTGTCTCATGGTGAGGCTCTGCTGGTGTCTCATGGTGAGGCTGTGCTGGTGTCTCATGGTGCGGCTGTGCTGGTGTCTCATGGTGAGGCTGTGCTGGTGTCTCATGGTGAGGCTGTGCTGGTATCTCCTGGTGAGGCTGTGCTGGTGTCTCATGGTGAGGCTGTGCTTGTGTCTCATGGTGAGGCTGTGCTGGTGTCTCATGATGAGGCTGTGCTGGTGTCTCATGGTGAATCCGTGCTATTGTCTCATGGTGAGGCTCTGCTGGTGTCTCATGGTGAGGCTCTGCTGGTGTCTCATGATAAGGCTCTGCTGGTGTCTCATGGTGAATCCGTGCTGGTGTCTCATGGTGAGGCTGTGCTGGTGTCTCATGGTGAAACCGTGCTTTTGTCTCATGGTGAGGCTCTGCTGGTGTCTCATGGTGACGCTGTGTGGTGTCTCATGGTGAGGCTCTGCTGGTGTCTCATGGTGCGGCTGTGCTGGTATCTCCTGGTGAGGCTGTGCTGGTGTCTCATGGTGAGGCTGTGCTTGTGTCTCATGGTGAGGCTGTGCTGGTGTCTCATGGTGAATCCGTGCTTTTGTCTCATGGTGAGGCTCTGCTGGTGTCTCATGGTGAGGCTCTGCTGGTGTCTCATGGTGTGGCTGTGCTGGTATCTCCTGGCGAGGCTGTGCTGGTGTCTCATGGTGAGGCTGTGCTGGTGTCTCATGGTGAGGCTGTGCTGGTGTCTCATGGTGAGGCTGTGCTGGTGTCTCATGGTGAGGCTCTGCTGGTGTCTCATGGTGAATCCGTGCTGGTGTCTCATGGTGCGGCTGTGCTGGTGTCTCATGGTGAGGCTCTGCTGGTGTCTCATGGTGAGGCTGTGCTGGTGTCTCATGGTGAGGCTGTGCTGGTGTCTCATGGTGAATCCGTGCTGGTGTCTCATGGTGAGGCTCTGCTGGTGTCTCATGTTGACGCTGTGCTGGTGTCTCATGGTGAGGCTGTGCTGGTGTCTCATGGTGAGGCTGTGCTGGTGTCTCATGGTGAGGCTGTGCTGGTGTCTCATGGTGAATCCGTGCTGATGTCTCATTGTGAGGCTGTGCTGGTGTCACATGGTGAGGCTCTGCTGGTGTCTCATGGTGAATCCGTGCTGGTGTCTCATGGTGAGGCTGTGCTGGTGTCTCATGGTGAGGCTGTGCTGGTGTCTTATGGTGAAACCGTGCTTTTGTCTCATGGTGAGGCTCTGCTGGTGTCTCATGGTGAGGCTGTGCTGGTGTCTCATGGTGAGGTTGTGCTGGTGTCTCATGGTTAAACCGTGCTTTTGTCTCATGGTGAGGCTCTGCTGGTGTCTCATGGTGAGGCTGTGCTGGTGTCTCATGGTGCGGCTGTGCTGGTGTCTCATGGTGAGGCTGTGCTGGTGTCTCATGGTGAGGCTGTGCTGGTATCTCCTGGTGAGGCTGTGCTGGTGTCTCATGGTGAGGCTGTGCTTGTGTCTCATGGTGAGGCTGTGCTGGTGTCTCATGGTGAATCCGTGCTTTTGTCTCATGGTGAGGCTCTGCTGGTGTCTCATGGTGTGGCTGTGCTGGTATCTCCTGGCGAGGCTGTGCTGGTGTCTCATGGTGAGGCTGTGCTGGTGTCTCATGGTGAGGCTGTGCTGGTGTCTCATGGTGAGGCTCTGCTGGTGTCTCATGGCGAATCCATGCTGGTGTCTCATAGTGAGGCTGTGCTGGTGTCTCATGGTGAGGCTCTGCTGGTGTCTCATGGTGAATCCGTGCTGGTGTCTCATGGTGCGGCTGTGCTGGTGTCTCATGGTGAGGCTCTGCTGGTGTCTCATGGTGAGGCTGTGCTGGTGTCTGATGGTGCGGCTGTGCTGGTGTCTGATGGTGAGGCTCTGCTGGTGTCTCATGGTGAGGCTGTGCTGGTGTCTCATGGTGAGGCTGTGCTGGTGTCTCATGGTGAGGCTGTGCTGGTGTCTCATGGTGACGCTGTGCTGGTGTCTGATGGTGCGGCTGTGCTGGTGTTTGATGGTGAGGCTCTGCTGGTGTCTCATGGTGAGGCTGTGCTGGTGTCTCATGGTGAGGCTGTGCTGGTGTCTCATGGTGAGGCTGTGCTGGTGTCTCATGGTGAGGCTGTGCTGGTATCTCATGGTGAATCCGTGCTGGTGTCTCATTGTGAGGCTGTGCTGGTGTCACATGGTGAGGCTCTGCTGGTGTCTCATGATGAGGCTCTGCTGGTGTCTCATGGTGAATCCGTGCTGGTGTCTCATGGTGAGGCTGTGCTGGTGTCTCATGGTGAAACCGTGCTTTTGTCTCATGGTGAGGCTCTGCTGGTGTCTCATGGTGAAACCGTGCTTTTGTCTCATGGTGAGGCTCAGCTGGTGTCTCATGGTGAGGCTGTGCTGGTGTCTCATGGTGAAACCGTGCTTTTGTCTCATGGTGAGGCTCTGCTGGTGTCTCATGGTGAGGCTGTGCTGGTGTCTCATGGTGCGGCTGTGCTGGTGTCTCATGGTGAGGCTGTGCTGGTGTCTCATGGTGAGGCTCTGCTGGTGTCTCATGGTGAGGCTGTGCTTGTGTCTCATGGTGAGGCTGTGCTGGTGTCTCATTGTGAGGCTCTGCTGGTGTCTCATGGTGACGCTGTGCTGGTGTCTCATGGTGACGCTGTGCTGGTGTCTCATGGTTCGGCTGTGCTGGTGTCTCATGGTGAGGCTGTGCTGGTGTCTCATGGTGAGGCTGTGCTGGTGTCTCATGGTGAGGCTGTGCTGGTGTCTCATGGTGAGGCTCTGCTGGTGTCTCATGGCGAATCCATGCTGGTGTCTCACAGTGAGGCTGTGCTGGTGTCTCATGGTGAGGCTCTTCTGGTGTCTCATGGTGAATCCGTGCTGGTGTCTCATGGTGCGGCTGTGCTGGTGTCTCATGGTGAGGCTGTGCTGGTGTCTCATGGTGAGGCTGTGCTGGTGTCTCATGGTGAATCCGTGCTGGTGTCTCATGGTGAGGCTGTGCTGGTGTCTCATGGTGACGCTGTGCTGGTGTCTGATGGTGCGGCTGTGCTGGTGTCAGATGGTGAGGCTCTGCTGGTGTCTCATGGTGAGGCTGTGCTGGTGTCTCATGGTGAGGCTGTGCTGGTGTCTCATGGTGAGGCTGTGCTGGTGTCTCATGGTGAGGCTGTGCTGGTGTCTCATGTCTCATGGCGAATCCATGCTGGTGTCTCACAGTGAGGCTGTGCTGGTGTCTCATGGTGAGGCTCTTCTGGTGTCTCATGGTGAATCCGTGCTGGTGTCTCATTGTGAGGCTGTGCTGGTGTCACATGGTGAGGCTCTGCTGGTGTCTCATGATGAGGCTCTGCTGGTGTCTCATGGTGAATCCGTGCTGGTGTCTCATGGTGAGGCTGTGCTGGTGTCTCATGGTGAGGCTGTGCTGGTGTCTCATGGTGACGCTGTGCTGGTGTCTGATGGTGCGGCTGTGCTGGTGTCAGATGGTGAGGCTCTGCTGGTGTCTCATGGTGAGGCTGTGCTGGTGTCTCATGGTGAGGCTGTGCTGGTGTCTCATGGTGAGGCTGTGCTGGTGTCTCATGGTGAGGCTGTGCTGGTGTCTCATGGCGAATCCATGCTGGTGTCTCACAGTGAGGCTGTGCTGGTGTCTCATGGTGAGGCTCTTCTGGTGTCTCATGGTGAATCCGTGCTGGTGTCTCATTGTGAGGCTGTGCTGGTGTCACATGGTGAGGCTCTGCTGGTGTCTCATGATGAGGCTCTGCTGGTGTCTCATGGTGAATCCGTGCTGGTGTCTCATGGTGAGGCTGTGCTGGTGTCTCATGGTGAGGCTGTGCTGGTGTCTCATGGTGAGGCTGTGCTGGTGTCTCATGGTGAGGCTCTGCTGGTGTCTCATGGTTAGGCTGTGCTGGTGTCTCATGGTGAGGCTCTTCTGGTGTCTCATGGTGAATCCGTGCTGGTGTTTCATTGTGAGGCTGTGCTGGTGTCACATGGTGAGGCTCTGCTGGTGTCTCATGATGAGGCTCTGCTGGTGTCTCATGGTGAATCCGTGCTGGTGTCTCATGGTGAGGCTGTGCTGGTGTCTCATGGTGAGGCTGTGCTGGTGTCTCATGGTGAGGCTGTGCTGGTGTCTCATGGTGAGGCTCTGGTGAGGCTCTGCTGGGGGTCTCATGGTTAGGCTGTGCTGGTGTCTCATGGTGAGGCTGTGCTGGTGTCTCATGGTGAAACCGTGCTTTTGTCTCATGGTGAGGCTCTGCTGGTGTCTCATGGTGAGGCTGTGCTGGTGTCTCATGGTGCGGCTGTGCTGGTGTCTCATGGTGAGGCTGTGCTGGTGTCTCATGGTGAGGCTCTGCTGGTGTCTCATGGTGACGCTGTGCTGGTGTCTCATGGTGAGGCTTTGCTTGTGTCTCATGGTGAGGCTCTGCTGGTGTCTCATGGTGAGGCTCTGCTGGTGTCTCAAGGTGAGGCTGTGCTGGTGTCTCATGGTGAGGCTCTGCTGGTGTCTCATGGTGAGGCTCTGCTGGTGTCTCATGGTGAGGCTGTGCTGGTGTCTCATGGTGAGGCTGTGCTGGTGTCTCATGGTGAGGCTCTGCTGGTGTCTCATGGTGAGGCTGTGCTGGTGTCTCATGGTGAGGCTCTGCTGGTGTCTCATGGCGAATCCATGCTGGTGTCTCATAGTGAGGCTGTGCTGGTGTCTCATGGTGAGGCTCTGCTGGTGTCTCATGGTGAATCCGTGCTGGTGTCTCATGGTGCGGCTGTGCTGGTGTCTCATGGTGAGGCTGTGCTGGTGTCTCATGGTGAGGCTGTGCTGGTGTCTCATGGTGAGGCTGTGCTGGTGTCTCATGGTGAATCCCTGCTGGTGTCTCATGGTGAGGCTGTGCTGGTGTCTCATGTTGACGCTGTGCTGGTGTCTGATGGTGCGGCTGTGCTGGTGTCTGATGGTGAGGCTCTGCTGATGTCTCATGGTGAGGCTGTGCTGGTGTCTCATGGTGAGGCTGTGCTGGTGTCTCATGGTGAGGCTGTGCTGGTGTCTCATGGTGAGGCTGTGCTGGTGTCTCATGGTGAATCCGTGCTGGTGTCTCATTGTGAGGCTGTGCTGGTGTCACATGGTGAGGCTCTGCTGGTGTCTCATGATGAGGCTCTGCTGGTGTCTCATGGTGAATCCGTGCTGGTGTCTCATGGTGAGGGCTGTGCTGGTGTCTCATGGTGAGGCTGTGCTGGTGTCTCATGGTGAAACCGTGCTTTTGTCTCATGGTGAGGCTCTGCTGGTGTCTCATGGTGAGGCTGTGCTGGTGTCTCATGGTGAGGCTGTGCTGGTGTCTCATGGTGAAACCGTGCTTTTGTCTCATGGTGAGGCTCTGCTGGTGTCTCATGGTGAGGCTCTGCTGGTGTCTCATGGTGAGGCTCTGCTGGTGTCTCATGGTGAGGCTGTGCTGGTGTCTCATGGTGCGGCTGTGCTGGTGTCTCATGGTGAGGCTGTGCTGGTGTCTCATGGTGAGGCTGTGCTGGTATCTCCTGGTGAGGCTGTGCTGGTGTCTCATGGTGAGGCTGTGCTTGTGTCTCATGGTGAGGCTGTGCTGGTGTCTCATGATGAGGCTCTGCTGGTGTCTCATGGTGAATCCGTGCTTTTGTCTCATGGTGAGGCTCTGCTGGTGTCTCATGGTGAGGCTCTGCTGGTGTCTCATGGTGTGGCTGTGCTGGTATCTCCTGGCGAGGCTGTGCTGGTGTCTCATGGTGAGGCTGTGCTGGTGTCTCATGGTGAGGCTGTGCTGGTGTCTCATGGTGAGGCTCTGCTGGTGTCTCATGGCGAATCCATGCTGGTGTCTCAGAGTGAGGCTGTGCTGGTGTCTCATGGTGAGGCTCTGCTGGTGTCTCATGGTGAGGCTGTGCTGGTGTCTCATGGTGAGGCTCTGCTGGTGTCTCATGGTGAGGCTGTGCTGGTGTCTGATGGTGCGGCTGTGCTGGTGTCTGATGGTGAGGCTCTGCTGGTGTCTCATGGTGAGGCTGTGCTGGTGTCTCATGGTGAGGCTGTGCTGGTGTCTCATGGTGAGGCTGTGCTGGTGGTCTCATGGTGAGGCTCTGCTGGTGTCTCATGGTGAGGCTGTGCTGGTGTCTCATGGTGAGGCTGTGCTGGTGTCTCATGGTGAAACCGTGCTTTTGTCTCATGGTGAGGCTCTGCTGGTGTCTGATGGTGAGGCTCTGCTGATGTCTCATGGTGAGGCTGTGCTGGTGTCTCATGGTGAGGCTGTGCTGGTGTCTCATGGTGAGGCTGTGCTGGTGTCTCATGGTGAGGCTGTGCTGGTGTCTCATGGTGAATCCGTGCTGGTGTCTCATTGTGAGGCTGTGCTGGTGTCACATGGTGAGGCTCTGCTGGTGTCTCATGATGAGGCTCTGCTGGTGTCTGATGGTGAGGCTCTGCTGGTGTCTGATGGTGAGGCTCTGCTGATGTCTCATGGTGAGGCTGTGCTGGTGTCTCATGGTGAGGCTGTGCTGGTGTCTCATGGTGAGGCTGTGCTGGTGTCTCATGGTGAAACCGTGCTTTTGTCTCATGGTGAGGCTCTGTTGGTGTCTCATGGTGAGGCTGTGCTGGTGTCTCATGGTGAGGCTGTGCTGGTGTCTCATGATGAGGCTCTGCTGGTGTCTCATGGTGAATCCGTGCTTTTGTCTCATGGTGAGGCTCTGCTGGTGTCTCATGGTGAGGCTCTGCTGGTGTCTCATGGTGTGGCTGTGCTGGTATCTCCTGGCGAGGCTGTGCTGGTGTCTCATGGTGAGGCTGTGCTGGTGTCTCATGGTGAGGCTGTGCTGGTGTCTCATGGTGAGGCTCTGCTGGTGTCTTATAGTGAGGCTGTGCTGGTGTCTCATGGTGAGGCTCTGCTGGTGTCTCATGGTGAATCCGTGCTGGTGTCTCATGGTGCGGCTGTGCTGGTGTCTCATGGTGAGGCTCTGCTGGTGTCTCATGGTGAGGCTGTGCTGGTGTCTGATGGTGCGGCTGTGCTGGTGTCTGATGGTGAGGCTCTGCTGGTGTCTCATGGTGAGGCTGTGCTGGTGTCTCATGGTGAGGCTGTGCTGGTGTCTCATGGTGAGCCTGTGCTGGTGTCTCATGGTGACGCTGTGCTGGTGTCTGATGGTGCGGCTGTGCTGGTGTCTGATGGTGAGGCTCTGCTGGTGTCTCATGGTGAGGCTGTGCTGGTGTCTCATGGTGAGGCTGTGCTGGTGTCTCATGGTGAGGCTGTGCTGGTGTCTCATGGTGAGGCTGTGCTGGTGTCTCATGGTGAATCCGTGCTGGTGTCTCATTGTGAGGCTGTGCTGGTGTCACATGGTGAGGCTCTGCTGGTGTCTCATGATGAGGCTCTGCTGGTGTCTCATGGTGAATCCGTGCTGGTGTCTCATGGTGAGGCTGTGCTGGTGTCTCATGGTGAGGCTGTGCTGGTGTCTCATGGTGAAACCGTGCTTTTGTCTCATGGTGAGGCTCTGCTGGTGTCTCATGGTGAAACCGTGCTTTTGTCTCATGGTGAGGCTCTGCTGGTGTCTCATGGTGAGGCTGTGCTGGTGTCTCATAGTGAGGCTGTGCTGGTGTCTCATGGTGAGGCTCTGCTGGTGTCTCATGGTGAATCCGTGCTGGTGTCTCATGGTGCGGCTGTGCTGGTGTCTCATGGTGAGGCTCTGCTGGTGTCTCATGGTGAGGCTGTGCTGGTGTCTCATGGTGAGGCTGTGCTGGTGTCTCATGGTGAATCCGTGCTGGTGTCTCATGGTGAGGCTGTGCTGGTGTCTCATGGTGACGCTGTGCTGGTGTCTCATGGTGACGCTGTGCTGGTGTCTGATGGTGCGGCTGTGCTGGTGTCAGATGGTGAGGCTCTGCTGGTGTCTCATGGTGAGGCTGTGCTGGTGTCTCATGGTGAGGCTGTGCTGGTGTCTCATGGTGAGGCTGTGCTGGTGTCTCATGGTGAGGCTGTGCTGGTGTCTCATGGTGAGGCTGTGCTGGTGTCTCATGGTGAATCCGTGCTGGTGTCTCATTGTGAGGCTGTGCTGGTGTCACATGGTGAGGCTCTGCTGGTGTCTCATGATGAGGCTCTGCTGGTGTCTCATGGTGAATCCGTGCTGGTGTCTCATGGTGAGGCTGTGCTGGTGTCTCATGGTGAGGCTGTGCTGGTGTCTCATGGTGAGGCTGTGCTGGTGTCTCATGGTGAGGCTCTGCTGGTGTCTCATGGTGAGGCTGTGCTGGTGTCTCATGGTGAGGCTGTACTGGTGTCTCATGGTGAAACCGTGCTTTTGTCTCATGGTGAGGCTCTGCTGGTGTCTCATGGTGAGGCTGTGCTGGTGTCTCATGGTGCGGCTGTGCTGGTGTCTCATGGTGAGGCTGTGCTGGTGTCTCATGGTGAGGCTCTGCTGGTGTCTCATGGTGACGCTGTGCTGGTGTCTCATGGTGCGGCTGTGCTGGTGTCTCATGGTGAGGCTGTGCTGGTGTCTCATGGTGAGGCTCTGCTGGTGTCTCATGGTGACGCTGTGCTGGTGTCTCATGGTGAGGCTCTGCTGGTGTCTCTGGAGCTCGAGGCACAGGTTGTCGGGCCCCAGCACTGGTCCCTGGGGAGTCCCACCTGTCCTGCTGCATGTTCCCATTAGGTCAGTGGTGCAGGGGCTCTTTAGCTCTGCTTTCAGGCGCGCTCGTAAACAGAGCGCTCCATTATAGAAAGCATATTCAGATAACAGGGCCACCAACGAGGTCAGCGCGACCTTTGTCCGGAGTTTAATGAGAGTTTTAATAAAACAAAAAAATGCCTTCCTTATTGTCATGAGCTAATGAGTGCGGCGCTGGCGGTGGGAAAGTCCGGCGCCGTGCCCCTCGGCCCGCACCTGCATGTACCAGCGCTGCCTCTGATTGCATTCAGAGCCTCCAAACAAACGGCCTTCTAATTACCACTAAATAGAATCGGCATTTAGCCCCCTGACACAAAGAGCGGCAACATAGAGCTCATTGAGGTTATCAACAAGGGACACTGGTCAATTGGGTCATTGATTTGGATTGTTTGACAGAGCGGGGGCCAAGGCCGCAGGAGCCGCGGGAGCCGCGGGAGACGCGGGGGCCGCAGGAGCCGCGGGAGCCGCGGGAGCCGCAGGAGCCGCGGGAGCCGCAGGAGCCGCAGGAGCCGCAGGAGCCGCAGGAGCCGCAGGAGCCGCAGGAGCCGCGGGAGCAGGCAAAGTTCAAAAATCCCCCTCAGTGGAATCGAGAAGTTTGTCACAGAATCTGTTGAAGCATCTGTCAGGAGCGATTAGAGGCTTCAAGGCCTCGCTGCGAACACACAGACCCAGCGCCGCAACTTTAACCACCGCTAACACCGCTTTGTCCACGGCCGCGGCACATGATCTGATTACAGGGGTGAGTGGGTAGCACAGGAGGAGACAGAGGGAGAGGCGCAGAGGGAGAGGCGCAGATGGAGAGGAGCAGAGGGAGAGGCGCAGAAGGAGAGGCGCAGATGGAGAGGAGCAGAGGGAGAGGCGCAGAAGGAGAGGCGCAGAGGGAGAGGCGCAGAGGGAGAAGCGCAGAGGGAGAGGTGCAGAGGGAGAGGCGCAGAGGGAGAGGCGTAGAGGGAGAGGTGCAGAGGGAGAGGCGTAGAGGGAGAGGTGCAGAGGGAGAGGCGCAGAGGGAGAAGCGCAGAGGGAGAGGTGCAGAGGGAGAGGCGCAGAGGGAGAGGCGTAGAGGGAGAGGTGCAGAGGGAGAGGCGCAGAGGGAGAGGCGTAGAGGGAGAGGAGCAGAGGGAGAGGCGCAGAGGGAGAGGCGTAGAGGGAGAGGAGCAGAGGGAGAGGCGCAGAAGGAGAGGCGCAGATGGAGAGGAGCAGAGGGAGAGGCGCAGAAGGAGAGGCGCAGAGGGAGAGGCGCAGAGGGAGAAGCGCAGAGGGAGAGGTGCAGAGGGAGAGGCGCAGAGGGAGAGGCGTAGAGGGAGAGGTGCAGAGGGAGAGGCGCAGAGGGAGAGGCGTAGAGGGAGAGGTGCAGAGGGAGAGGCGCAGAGGGAGAAGCGCAGAGGGAGAGGTGCAGAGGGAGAGGCGCAGAGGGAGAGGCGTAGAGGGAGAGGTGCAGAGGGAGAGGCGCAGAGGGAGAGGCGTAGAGGGAGAGGTGCAGAGGGAGACACACAGGGAGAGACACAGAGAGAGACACAGAGAGAGACACAGAGAAACACACAGAGAGAGAGGCGCAGAGGGAGAGGTGCAGAGGGAGACACACAGGGAGAGAGACACAGAGAGAGACACAGAGAAACACACAGAGAGAGAGACAGAGGGAGAGACACAGAGGGAGAGACACAGAGAGAGACACAGAGAGAGAGACGCAGAGGGAGAGACACAGAGGGAGAGACACAGAGAGAGACACAGAGAGAGACACAGAGAGAGAGGCGCAGAGGGAGAGGTGCAGAGGGAGACACACAGGGAGAGAGACACAGAGAGAGACACAGAGAAACACACAGAGAGAGAGACAGAGGGAGAGACACAGAGGGAGAGACACAGAGAGAGACACAGAGAGAGAGACGCAGAGGGAGAGACACAGAGGGAGACACAGAGAGAGACACAGAGAGAGAGACACAGAGAGGCACAGAGAGAGAGAGACACAGAGAGAGAGACACAGAGGAAGAGACACAGAGGGGCAGGTGCAGAGAGAGAGACACAGAGGGAGAGGCACAGAGGGAGAGACACAGAGAGAGAGACACAGAGGGAGAGGCACAGAGGGAGAGACACAGAGAGAGACACAGAGAGAGAGAGACACAGAGGGAGAGGCACAGAGGGGGAGACACAGAGGGAGGGACACAGAGAGAGAGACACAGAGGGAGAGACACAGAGGGAGACACAGAGAGAGACACAGAGAGAGAGACACAGAGAGGCACAGAGGGAGAGACACAGAGAGAGAGACACAGAGGGAGAGACACAGAGGGAGAGGTGCAGAGGGGGAGACACAGAGAGAGACACAGAGGGAGAGACAGAGAGAGAGAGGCACAGAGGGAGACACAGAGAGAGAGACAGAGAGAGAGACACAGAGAGAGGGAGACACAGAGAGAGAGACAGAGAGAGAGACAGAGAGAGAGACACAGAGGGAGGGAGACACAGAGAGAGAGACACAGAGGGAGAGGCACAGAGGGAGAGACACAGAGAGAGACACAGAGGGAGAGGCACAGAGGGAGAGACACAGAGAGAGACACAGAGAGAAAGAGACACAGAGGGAGAGGCACAGAGGGGGAGACACAGAGAGAGAGACACAGAGAGAGACACAGAGAGAGGGAGACACAGAGAGAGACACAGAGAGAGGGAGACAGAGAGAGAGACAGAGAGAGAGACACAAAGAGACACAGAGAGAGAGACACAGAGGGAGAGACACAGAGGGAGAGACACACAGAGAGAGAGAGAGACAGAGGGAGAGGTGCAGAGGGAGAGACACAGAGAGAGACACAGAGAGAGAGACAGAGAGAGAGACAGAGAGAGAGAGGCACAGAGAGAGAGACACAGAGAGAGACATATAGAGAGAGGGAGACACAGAGAGAGAGACAGAGAGAGAGACAGAGAGAGAGACACAGAGAGAGAGACAGAGAGAGACAGAGAGAGAGACACAGAGGGAGAGACACAGAGGGAGAGACACAGAGAGAGAGACACAGAGGGAGAGGCACAGAGGGAGAGACGCAGAGGTAGAGACAAAGAGGGAGACACAGAGAGAGAGACACAGAGGGAGAGATGCAGAGGGGGAGACAGAGAGAGAGAGACACAGAGAGAGAGACACAGAGGTAGAGACAAAGAGGGAGAAACACAGAGAGAGACACAGAGAGAGAGACACAGAGAGAGACACAGAGGGAGAGTTGAAGAGGGAGAGACACAGAGAGAGACACAGAGAGAGACACAGAGAGAGACACAGAGAGAGACACAGAGAGAGAGACACAGAGGGAGAGATGCAGAGGGAGAGGTGCAGAGGGAGAGACACAGAGGGAGAGGTGCAGAGGGAGAGGCACAGAGAGAGACACAGAGAGAGGCACAGAGAGAGAGACACAGAGGGAGAGACGCAGAGGGAGAGACACAGAGAGAGAGGCACAGAGAGAGAGACACAGAGAGAGAGACACAGAGGGAGAGACACAGAGAGAGAGACACAGAGGGAGAGACACAGAGGTAGAGACACAGAGAGAGAGGCGCAGAGAGAGAGACACAGAGAGACACACAGAGGTAGAGACACAGAGAGAGAGAGACAAAGAGGGAGAAACACAGAGAGACACAGAGGGAGAGACGCAGAGGGAGAGGTGCAGAGGGAGAGGCGCAGAGGGAGAGGCGCAGAAGGAGAGGCGCAGAGGGAGAGGCGCAGAAGGAGAGGCGCAGAGGGAGAAGCGCAGAGGGAGAGGTGCAGAGGGAGAGGCGCAGAGGGAGAGGCGCAGAGGGAGAGGCGCAGAGGGAGAGGTGCAGAGGGAGACACACAGGGAGAGACACAGAGAGAGACACAGAGAGAGACACAGAGAAACACACAGAGAGAGAGACACAGAGGGAGAGACACAGAGAGAGACACAGAGAGAGACACAGAGAGAGACACAGAGAGAGAGGCGCAGAGGGAGAGGTGCAGAGGGAGAGGTGCAGAGGGAGACACACAGGGAGAGAGACACAGAGAGAGACACAGAGAAACACACAGAGAGAGAGACACAGAGGGAGAGACACAGAGGGAGAGACACAGAGAGAGAGACACAGAGGGAGAGGCACAGAGGGAGAGACACAGAGAGAGACACAGAGAGAGAGACGCAGAGGGAGAGACACAAAGGGAGACACAGAGAGAGACACAGAGAGAGAGACACAGAGAGGCACAGAGAGAGAGAGACACAGAGAGAGACACAGAGGAAGAGACACAGAGGGACAGGTGCAGAGAGAGAGACACAGAGGGAGAGGCACAGAGGGAGAGACACAGCGAGAGAGACACAGAGGGAGAGGCACAGAGGGAGAGACACAGAGAGAGACACAGAGAGAGAGAGACACAGAGGGAGAGGCACAGAGGGGGAGACACAGAGGGAGGGACACAGAGAGAGAGACACAGAGGGAGAGACACAGAGGGAGACACAGAGAGAGACACAGAGAGAGAGACACAGAGGGAGAGACACAGAGGGAGAGGTGCAGAGGGGGAGACACAGAGAGAGACACAGAGGGAGAGACAGAGAGAGAGAGGCACAGAGAGAGAGACACAGAGAGAGACACAGAGAGAGGGAGACACAGAGAGAGAGACAGAGAGAGAGACAGAGAGAGAGACACAGAGAGAGACACAGAGGGAGAGGCACAGAGGGAGAGACACAGAGAGAGACACAGAGAGAAAGAGACACAGAGGGAGAGGCACAGAGGGGGAGACACAGAGGGGGAGACACAGAGAGAGACACAGAGGGAGAGGCACAGAGGGGGAGACACAGAGAGAGAGACACAGAGAGAGACACAGAGAGAGGGAGACACAGAGAGAGAGACAGAGAGAGAGACAGAGAGAGAGACAGAGAGAGAGACAGAGAGAGAGACACAAAGAGACACAGAGGGAGAGACACAGAGGGAGAGACACAGAGAGAGAGAGAGACAGAGGGAGAGGTGCAGAGGGAGAGACACAGAGAGAGACACAGAGGGAGAGACAGAGAGAGAGAGGCACAGAGAGAGAGACACAGAGAGAGACATATAGAGAGAGGGAGACACAGAGAGAGAGACAGAGAGAGAGACACACAAAGAGACACAGAGAGAGAGACACAGAGGGAGAGACACAGAGGGAGAGACACAGAGAGAGAGACACAGAGGGAGAGGCACAGAGGGAGAGACGCAGAGGTAGAGACAAAGAGGGAGACACAGAGAGAGAGACACAGAGGTAGAGACAAAGAGGGAGAAACACAGAGAGAGACACAGAGAGAGAGACACAGAGAGAGACACAGAGGGATAGACGCAGAGGGAGAGACACAGAGGGAGACACAGAGAGAGACACAGAGAGAGACACTGAGAGAGACACAGAGAGAGAGAGAACACAGAGGGAGAGATGCAGAGGGAGAGGTGCAGAGGGAGAGACACAGAGGGAGAGGTGCAGAGGGAGAGGCACAGAGAGAGACACAGAGAGAGGCACAGAGAGAGACACAGAGGGAGAGACAGAGAGAGAGACACAGAGGGAGAGACACAGAGGTAGAGACACAGAGAGAGAGGCGCAGAGAGAGAGACACAGAGAGACACACAGAGGTAGAGACACAGAGAGAGAGAGACAAAGAGGGAGAAACACAGAGAGACACAGAGGGAGAGACGCAGAGGGAGAGGTGCAGAGGGAGAGACACAGAGGGAGAGGTACAGAGAGAGACACAGAGAGAGAGACACAGAGAGAGAGATACAGAGAGAGAGACACAGAGAGAGAGACACAGAGAGAGACATATAGAGAGAGGGAGACACAGAGAGAGAGACAGAGAGAGAGACAGAGAGAGAGACACAAAGAGACACAGAGAGAGAGACACAGAGGGAGAGACACAGAGGGAGAGACACAGAGAGAGAGACGCAGAGGGAGAGGCACAGAGGGAGAGACGCAGAGGTAGAGACAAAGAGGGAGACACAGAGAGAGAGACACAGAGGGAGAGACGCAGAGGGGGAGACAGAGAGAGAGAGACACAGAGAGAGAGACACAGAGGTAGAGACAAAGAGGGAGAAACACAGAGAGAGACACAGAGAGAGAGACACAGAGAGAGACACAGAGGGATAGACGCAGAGGGAGAGACACAGAGGGAGACACAGAGAGAGACACAGAGAGAGACACTGAGAGAGACACAGAGAGAGAGACACGAGGGAGAGATGCAGAGGGAGAGGTGCAGAGGGAGAGACACAGAGGGAGAGGTGCAGAGGGAGAGGCACAGAGAGAGACACAGAGAGAGGCACAGAGAGAGACACAGAGGGAGAGACAGAGAGAGAGACACAGAGGGAGAGACACAGAGGT